GGCGAGTAATTAGTAATTACTATAGATTTGAACCAGCAGTAATTTTTTCAATCACTGAAAATTTCCTTTTTTTTTTATTCGGATAATATTAGGTTTCACTAGAAAGTAGAAAGTTCTTACACTTTAGATAATTATACAAAATAAAATAAAAAGCGGTAGGTGGTGTGATGGGACTAACACTAAATCACTGTAAATATTTCAGAAACATAATCTCCAGTGCCAGTGTCAGCTTGTGACCCACACCATTTAGAGCCGCTTATCAAGTGCTCACGCTTTGCAAAGGTGTCTCCACTGTGACCTACATTGCATATGCATTTCCCATATTTTGTACAGTCAAGAGACTAGAGCATGTTCAAGACCAACACACAATTGTAACATACTTACGGTCGTCTAATTTGTTAATTTGAGTTTTTAATTTAAGTTGAGATATAATTTTATATTAAAATTTTTTATTATAATAAAAAAATTAGATGTAATTATTTTTGATAATTTTTTACTATAATAAAATTTAAATTGATAAAATGAGCAGAGACTTAATTCAGTCCAAAATAAGCCAATTTTAGATTAAAATATTTTACAAATTTAGCCAACAAAATAAAACCAAGAGAAAGAAACTGTCAATTCAAAGGGGGAAAAAAAAAAAGTTGTTTAAATAATGAATAAAATTAAAACTTAAGAATTGTGCATGGTGGAGTGAAGGTGAGAAAAAGACCCCTACCAGTTGTGTTATCGTTTATAAACATACTAATATACTATTAATGAAATGAAATCTACTAGTCTACTACCACATAAACCTAGTTATACATGTATATAGAGAAAAAAAATCCATTAAAAAATATAAAGAAAAAAGAAGAATACCTAATACACTTATGTATATATATATATATATATATGTTGCTGCCGTCTCATTTAAGAAAAGGTATGATCACTGCGTTGTTTAATCCCTTATGCATGTTTTTTAACATAAAGTTTGACCGTCCCATATTTTGGCACAACCATAAACAAAGTTATGTGAAGAAGATAAGAAAGCACGTATCAATGTTGGACCAAATGATGAGATCCACCAAGTCAAATTGGTCCTACACATTTATTAGTTGTGCTAAAGATATTTGGAGAGAATATCGCGCAGTTCATAAAAGATATACAATATTATTATTCAAGAATAATATGGGAGATGGCACAAAAAAATAATACAGGAGAAAAGATAAAGAAAGACATTTTAAAGAGAAAAAAAAATAAAAGTAATTAAACAAGGAGAAAAGAGTGGCTCCTATTCAAAAGAAAGCAAAAAGAAAAAAAGAAAAAAAAAACTGCCATTGAATAGTCATATGCGGGCTCTACCTTCATATAAATAAATAAATATACCGTTAATATTATTCTTTTAATCGTACTATATTAATTAAAAAATTGTAATAAATTAAGGGTGTGTTTGTTTCACAATTTGAGTTAAGAATTTAAATTGTGTATGTAAAAAAAATATTGTAGTAAAAATTGAATTTAAATTTTTATGAAAAAACACTATAATAATAAAACTTAAGTTGTGATTTAAATTGTGGAAAGAACAAGACTTAGATAATTGACTAAAAACATATATGACAATTAATGATATTAAATTTTTATTATACCACATAATTAAGTTACTTATTAAATTCGTCTCTGTGTCTTTATATATATATATATATTATTTGATAATTGAAGTCCGTAAATTTGGTGTAATTCCTTTCTTGGGCGTTTAGGTCTAGATTATATGATGCGACAGGAAAAGGGAAAGACTAAAATATACTTTATCCTCTTAAATCTTAGATTTTATCTATTTACAAAAGTCATTTGTATCTACACATAGTATATTAGAAGCTTTTATTTGGGAAAATGGAAAAGAAAATAAAGAGAGGAATTAGCATTCAATCACGAGAATATATAATTCAAAGGAAGAGAGAGATAAAAATAAACAAATTTTTCAAAAAGAAAAATAAAAACAATACTCATGTATTGAATAAACTTTTCGTGAGACAATTCAAAAGATAAAAAAAATATAAATAAAAAAATGAAAAATTTGGACCAAAAAAAAGCTTGTGGTACAAAAAAAGGTTGGTATATTATTTAGAGCTCGTTTAAGATAGTTTGTGTTTGTACTTTTAAGAAGTATAAGAAGATAAATATAAGTTGTGACTTTTTATTAGTATTTAGATAGCGTCACAACTTTTACCCAAACAAGTTGTGACTTTTAATTAGTCTTTTTATTACATTACTTTTATAACAATAAGTTGTAACTTTTTAAAGTACAAAAAAGTGTTTTAATATCTAAGAAGAGCTTTTAAACCTGTTTGGATAAAAAAGTTAAAAGCACTTATTGTTATAAAAAGTAATGTAATACAAATATATAGATGAGATATTTAATTTGTTGTTCACAAATAAATGGATAAAAATGTAAATAAAAAAACTTTTCATAAATACAAAAGAGATGACTTGTTCTAAAAGTGTTAAAAAAACTAAAAATATTTTAAGATTGTCTATCTAAAGAGATTCAAAAGTGACTTTTAGACTAAATAAGCCATAAACAGCTTTTTTAAGCCAATCTAAACGGACTCTTAAAAAAAATATAATTATGTGGTATGACATGGGAAAAAGTTCTCTTAAAAAATAATTTTACATTATCAAATCACATCATAGAACCTTAAAAGTATCGTAATTTGACGAACTTAAAGGTCTAATACTTTATTGATGTGTCTTACTCACTTTGGTATTCTTATTCCCTAAAGTAAACTCCTCCTTTTAAAAAATAAATATAAATATTAGGAAGAGTATTGTATAGTGTACTATTAAATTTATGCAATCAAATATTTATTAAGTTACGTTAAATTTGTACTTTTTTGTTTTGCATGAGTTTTAATCAGATGATTAAAAATTTGATCGGTTATCTATAAGTTATTTTTCATATTCTTTTACACAATGTTCTGCGACTTTTAGACTAAATAAGCCATAAACAGCTTTTTTAAGCCAATCTAAACGGACTCTTAAAAAAAAAATATAATTATGTGGTATGACATGGGAAAAAATTCTCTTAAAAAATAATTTTACATTATCAAATCACATCATAGAACCTTAAAAGTATCGTAATATGACGAACTTAAAGGTCTAATACTTTATTGATGTGTCTTACTCACTTTGGTATTCTTATTCCCTAAAGTAAACTCCTCCTTTTAAAAAATAAATATAAATATTAGGAAGAGTATTGTATAGTGTACTATTAAATTTATGCAATCAAATATTTATTAAGTTACGTTAAATTTGTACTTTTTTGTTTTGCATGAGTTTTAATCAGATGATTAAAAATTTGATCGGTTATCTATAAGTTATTTTTCATATTCTTTTACACAATGTTCTGCGTATTTTTTTTTAATAATTTCTATGTATTTGAGTAAAAAAGAGAAATATTAAAATTGTATTGTAACTAAAACAAACATACGAGTTCCTAAAAATAAAAAAAATAAAAAAACCATACGAGTTTAACAGTATTATCAAAAACCTAATAGCAAGATCGAGGTTACTTTTTTTGCACAAGGAATTTTTAGAAAAAAGAAACATTAGAAGAAAATTACAAGATAGAAAATAAAAAATTATTCTACGAATGACGCACAATCATGAATCATTAGGAGTCTGTTTGGTTCATGGATTAGAACCATGTGATTAGAATTATTTTTAATTTACGTGTATTTTTTATGAGAGAAAATACTATAATGAATCACGAATCATGATTCGAATCAGAGAACGAATTCATCTACCAAACGTCACCTAGATATTGCACGAGAATTGTATCAAAACAAAAAGAACATTTAATTCTTTGTTGTAGGTAATCTAAACAAAAAGAACATTTAATTATGGCTTAAAGATTGATGCTCCAAAATTATATACTACTGGTAATAAATATCATGACATAAGGAATTTGTGTTTGGTTATGTTTTTATGAGTAGATCTTTGTTTTAAGTTATTAACTCTGTATTATAAATTATGTATTATGCATATATTTTTTATTTTAATGTGATTTTGATTAAATTTAACTGTTAAAAATAATGATTAGAACACTAATGTGGAACAACTTTTTTTATCTTCACGTGATTTTGACAGTATTTTAACGTTCTCTTAATTTAGTAATTTACATCCATCTACCGTACGTGTCAACTGACATCAAATCTTAGGAGTCCGTTTGGTTCATTGATTAGAACCATGTGATTAGAACTATTTTTAATTTACGTGTATTTTTTATGAGAGAAAATACTGTAATGAACCACGAATCATGATTCGAATCAGGAAACGAATTCATCTACCAAACGTCACCTAGATATTGCACGAGAATTGTATCAAAACAAAAAGAACATTTAATTCTTTGTTGTAGGTAATCTAAACAAAAAGAACATTTAATTATGGCTTAAAGATTGATGCTCCAAAATTATATACTACTGGTAATAAATATCATGACATAAGGAATTTGTGTTTGGTTATGTTTTTATGAGTAGATCTTTGTTTTAAGTTATTAACTCTGTATTATAAATTATGTATTATGCATATATTTTTTATTTTAATGTGATTTTAATTAAATTTAACTGTTAAAAATAACGATTAGAACACTAATGTGGAACAACTTTTTTAATCTTCACGTGATTTTGACAGTATTTTAACGTTCTCTTAATTTAGTAATTTACATCCATCTACCGTACGTGTCAACTGACATCAAATCATAATTTATTGCCAAATAAATATAAAATTAAAGCGGGAGCGAATAGTCCAAATCACATTTTCTAGACAGTTATTTTTTTTTATAAAAAAAACAAAGATAAAAATAATGAAAATAATAAGTAAAAGGCACGTAAAAAGGAGAGAGAAAACTGAGCAAAGCCTGTGGACGTTAAGCACTCAAACAATCAACATGCAATTAATTACTTAAGTACCATCAATGTCATCCCTAACTACTCAATTAAGAAAACGCGTCCCCTCCTTCTTTACAGTTTACATCACTCTCCTTTTTACTTCTTCTGGCTTTTCCGCCCCCCTTCTCCTCCTTCCTTTTTCTTTCCCTCCCCATTTCCCGTCGTATAAATACTCCTTTACTCCTCACCCACTACTCCCACAAACACAACCCGTTTCTCAACTTCTTTCCCTTCTTTCTGTCCAAAAATGGCTGTCAAGAGCAAAATGCATCTCTTCCTTTTCCTTTCCCTTTTCCTTTTCCTCTCCCTCTCCGCGGCCGAAAATAACGACAGTTCTACTCTTCCCCTCTCCCTTTCCTTCCCTCTCACCGCCGTCCGTCACAACAGCTCCTCCGGCTCGGAAAGTTCTGGAACTTTCCGGGCGGCTCTTATCGCCAACCGCAAGCAGAACCCGAGGCTCCGAACGGCGTCGTATAACTACAAGCTGTTGTTTAAGTACTCGATGGCTCTGATCGTGTCGCTCCCCATCGGGACGCCGCCGCAGACCCAGCAGATGGTGCTAGATACCGGAAGCCAGCTGTCTTGGATTCAGTGCGATAAGAAGGCTCCCAAGGTTGCTCCCCCTCCGACTGCGTCGTTTGATCCCTCTCTCTCATCCACTTTCTCCGTTTTGCCCTGCTCCCACCCCGTCTGCAAGCCACGAATTCCCGATTTTACCCTCCCCACCTCCTGCGACCAGAACCGCCTCTGCCACTACTCCTACTTCTACGCCGACGGGACCTTCGCCGAGGGCAATCTCGTCAGGGAGAAATTTACCTTCTCTCGTTCCGTAACTACCCCTCCTTTTATCCTCGGCTGCGCCAAGGACCCCAGCGATTCGCAGGGCATTTTGGGAATGAACCTCGGTAGGCTCTCTTTCGCCTCCCAGGCCAAGATCAACAAGTTTTCCTACTGCGTCCCGACTCGGGGCCGACAAACCAAATCCGGGTCTTTACCAACGGGGTCGTTTTACTTGGGTAATAACCCGAACTCTCGTTGGTTCAAGTACGTTAACCTGTTGACTTTCCGCCAAAGTCAGCGCATGCCGAATCTGGATCCGCTGGCCTTCACGCTCCCGATGCAGGGCATAAGAATCGGAGCGAGAAGGCTCAATATTCCGGCGACGGTTTTCCGACCCGACTCGAGCGGTTCGGGTCAGACCATGATCGATTCAGGCTCGGAGTTCACCTTCTTGGTGGACGAGGCTTATAACAAGGTGCGCGAGGAGATCGTGAGGCTGGTGGGGCCCAGGATCAAGAAGGGCTACGTGTACGGCGGAGTGGCGGACATGTGTTTCCAAGGAACCGACGCGGTGGCGATCGGACGGTTGGTGGGCGACATGGCTTTCGAGTTCGAGAAGGGGGTGGAGATCGTGGCGCCAAAGGAGAGGATCCTCGCCGACGTTGGCGGCGGGGTCCACTGTTTAGCGATCGGACGGTCCAACATGCTTGGCGCCGCGAGCAACATTATAGGGAACTTCCATCAGCAAAATATCTGGGTGGAGTTTGATCTGGTGGGTCGCAGGGTTGGCTTCGGTAAGGCGGACTGTAGCAGATTACCGTAAGGACGTTATGGTATTGTCACATAAGTTAACTTCGCTACGGCTGTATAAGACGACAAAAATCTTACTAATAGCACCAATTTGGCACGTTTTATATCGGACGGCCTGCGTCACAGGCAGTAATATCACTGGTGTGTAGCTGGAAGATCCTACGGTTAAGGATCAACGAGATAGTTTAGGAGCGAAAAAATTGTTGTATGTACCATTGTACGATATATGTCGAGACCTTTGAGACTAATGTATATACGAGGAAATGAACTGTTGTTGTTGGTAGAAAAACATCTTATCTGCTGTTTCTTTTGTTTTTTGATCGTCTTTTACTATTAAAGTCATCCATAGCTAATTATAAATCAAGGCAACGAACAGAAAGAGACAAAATAACGTTGCAGATAGTTTTTTGAGATCTTTTTTTTTTTTAAATTTCATTTTCTTTTTTTTTTTTCTGTGAAAATTGTTCGAAATGAATTATTATAGCCCTGCCCTACCCTCCTAACAAATTCAAAATGGGGCAAGCTAGCGTATGGTCTTTTTCTAAGGAGAGCTGTGTGCGTGTAATGTTAATTTATGTAGCTTGGCGTGCGTCTTAAAAATTCAGTAGAAGTACCGAAGAATTAATTATGAGTAAGGTTGCTTTTGATATATACAAGTTTTGATCGGCAAGACTAGCAATATATATATATACACACACACACACACACAAGTGTGCTAATATAAATGGACCTTATCGGACACGCAATGCATTCATGCCTTCACGTCAAGAAGCATACAAATCTTAATCACGTGACTGTCGGGAATCTAGTTGGAAGCGGTTCTAGTACTAATTAATAATAAGTATCGAGCTCAATAATTTTCTTAACACTTTTGATCTGGATTTAGTTTTGTACTTGAGGGAATATGGTATGAGTTAGCATCCTCTACCTCCTGCTTCTTGTAAGTGTTAAATTGGTGTGCTAAATGTTACGTGAAAATTTGCCACATTCAGCACAAAATATAGTACGTGTCATATTTATTTTGATATTTTTTTAAGAATAGATTTTTATTTATGTTAATTTGCACAGCTCAAGTCATGAATTGAGTTGTGTATGTAAGAGAAAAATACTATAATAAAAAAGTTGAATTTAAATTTGTATGAGAAAATATTGTAGTAATATAACTTCAATCATGACTTGAGTTATAAAATGAACAAAAGTCTTAATTATTGTAACATTGTTGTTTTGAAACGATTTTCATATTAAAGTTTATTTTTATAAGTTTCAATTTCTAACAATTATGATGAGAATTAAACATGACATTTGAAACAATATTATACATTAGAGTACAAAATAAATGTCATTTTCTCATTTGCTTAGTGTTAAATATAATATTAACATTGAAGATGAAATTGAGAATCCGCATCCTTTATTTCAACATGCAACCACAAATGTATTAATATATTTACGTCTTTAATTAGTTTGAGATGAGCGATTGAACATAGTTAAGGGTGCGTTTGGAGCACGAATCTGTGTCATAGTTCGTGATTCATTACAGTGTTCTCTTTCATAAAAAAAAATATATAAAAATTAAAAATAATTCTGAATCATAATTTTAAATTTGAATCTGTGTCATAGTTCGTAATTCATTACAGTGTTCTCTTTCATAAAAAAAATATATAAAAATTAAAAATAATTCTGAATCATAATTTTAAATTTATGAATCAAACGTCCTCAAACGTCATCTAAGAGTCTCACCAAAAAAAGGCTAGATCTCAATAACGTAAGGTTTTAAAGTTAGAGAGAGAGAGACAGAGAGAGATTGTCACGTGGTATTGGTGAGTATACTATGAAAAATACGTATGATTGGATACGAAAGACTGAGGAAATCTTTGTGGAGTACCAAGCTAGATGAGGACACTTGTAAGCATGATGATCATGAACGATGATGTAGACCGTTGCATGATTTTCATTATGTCATGCAATTATGCATGCAAATTTGAAAGCGATTCTTGGTTTAATTAATTTCTGTCCCTTTGTTATTATCCACACACAGCTAAAAACTCGTTTTAAAATATCTCTAAAATCTTCTTCCTGTAGTATTTCCACAAGTGGTTGGTTGGTCTTTGTTTAACATGAACTTTTCCTACGCTTCTTTTTAAGTGCCACCACTCTATTGATTTGCTTGAACCCATCAATTGAAAAGAAAATGTGGATCAATAACTCCCCAAATTTCCAAAGAAAAATTACAAAACCAACTTTATTTTTTTCCTTTGGTTGCTGTCACGGGGTTAGAACGTCTCTATGAATCTAGATAATTTGGAAAAAGTGGACATTGCCACCGAAGTCCATTATTAATCATTGAAAGAGTTTAGCACGAAAGTAACATAAATGAGATATATAATTACATAATTAGCTTAATATAATAATTTTACACACATGTTTTTAATGTTAAAAGTCAAATTCAAATCGTTAATTCTTCTTTCAATGTTAACAATGAAATGTGGATATTCAGCAAAAAAAAAAAAAAGAAGAAACACAGATACATCGTTAAGATTTCATGCTAATATTTTAAATAATTAATTATGAGTTCCAACTAAGTGTAGCAGTTTTAAAGTTATCAATACAAATTCAATCTCTACCGCTTATCATCATTTATCACTTTATGCAAGTTAGAAAATCTGAAGTTTGAGAACTGCCGGAAATGAAATTAACTATTTATTTATTTTTTTTGAAAAAAGTACTGTTTGCTTGAAAGTACTGTTGACGCGTCGTAAAAGCAGATTAGTAAGATCTTATCTTTTGAATTTTGGAGACATTCCATCACTTTTACTCGACTCTCAATTAATTGAGCTGGCGAATGGTGTGATAGATCCAACATAATAGAGATATAATTTACCAAAAACATTAATAATAGAGATATAAAAGTAAAAAAGTAACGGCTAGAGACTTTTTTTTTTTTTTTTTTAAGAAGAGCGGCTAGAGACTTCTGGATTTGAATATTTTTGGAACCCTGCTTTTAATTGTTCAAAAAAGAAAAAGAAAATAAACAAAAGGAAAGTCGAGACAGCTAGAGTGAGACAGTTAAGTTCTGTTTGATACGAAGGTTTAAATTAAAGTAATTTTAGTTTTGATTTTAAAACTATAATTATAATTTATGATTTTGAGTTTAAATTGTGATTCTAAAATCAGAATCAGAATCAAGAGTTTGAACAACTTAAAATTAAAAATGAGAGTGATTTTAGAATTAAAAATGATTCGGATTTAAAATATCACATTAAGATTTAAATCTTAAATTAAAATCATACAAACTAAATATTAATTTTATTAAGTCAACCCATAATCACTTTTTATTTTTTTATAAATAAACACTGATTTAAACTAAAATTATAATTTCAATTCTAAAATTCTCGTACCAAACATCTCCTTAATGGATTATGTGGTTTCTTGGAGACGAGAGTCAATAAAATTGAGGAAGCGGGTAAGCAAATAGTGGGACCAGGTCACTATGAGATTTACTACACACACGTAGCATTGAGGAAGCGGGAAAGGAAAATTCTTTTTCACTTTCTCCCTTTTTTTTATTTTTTGAGTTTTTTGCATTTTTTTCCCCTAAACTTCTAGAACTTTGACATATGTTCTTTCAAGTTTAATTTTGACAATTTACTCCTGTAACTTATTAATATTATTACAACGCGATCTATTTATTAATTTTGTGCTTATTTTTTGTAATATTTAAGAGGATCAAAAGTTAAGATACAGAGAAATTTATATTACTGTTTAAATTAAGATGTTGGAGTTTTTTGATCGAACATACTTTGTCATCATCAATTTTAGACAACTATATGCAACATAGAGCACATTGGCCACTGCAACATTTAAGTTAGAAAGGTAAATTGTGAAAATTAGAAGTTCAAAAGGGTAAATTAGAAGTTTAAAGAATGGGACCAGGTCGCTATATGGGATTTACTACACACACACACAGAGCATTGAGGAAGCAGGAAAGGAATGATGTGTTTGGAACTCATTCTAAAATTATTTTATTTTTTGTATGAAAATGTAAATGAAAACGTTTTCAATATCAGACAGAAATTATTTTTGAAAATGTGTTTAATAGTTTTATCAAGAGATTACTTTTAGTATAAAAAAATTTATTAATGTCTATCTCTCTCCTCGAGAGAGAAAACGAAAACAAAAAAGAAAACGATAAAAAAATATTTTTTATTTTTCTCTTATTTTACACTAAATATAAAAATTATTTTTATTTTTATTTTTTATTTTTAATTGTGTCAAACTCTATTTTGAAATCGTTTTCATTTTTTTTTTTAAAACGTGAAAAATAAAAATAAGAACAATTCTAAATACAACAGAAGATTCTTCTTCACTTTCTCCATTTTTTATTTTTTTAGTTTTTTGCATTTTTTTCCCCTAAACTTCTAGAACTTTGACATCTGTTCCTTCAATTTTGCTTTTGACAATTTACTCCTATAACTTATTAAAATTATTGCAACATTACTAATTTTATTAATTGTGTGCTTATTTTTTTTGTAAGATTTAAGAGGATCAGGATACAAAGAAAATTGTATTACTCTTTAAATTAAGATGTTGGAATTTTTTAATCCAACATGCTTTGTCATCATCAATTTAAGGCAACTATAAGCAATATAGAGCACAACATTTAGAAAGATAAATTGTGAAAATTGGGGACGTTTGTTTAGAAGATTCATATTATGATTTGAATTATGATTTATTGTTCGTTATAATATTTTTTCTCATAAAAAAAATATACGTAAATTAAAAATAATTATAATCTCATAATTTTAATCTATGAATCAAAACGTCTCATAGAAGTTCAAAGGGTAAATATGTAAAACTTTTTGGGATGGTGATTTTGAGGAAAGAGAGAGATTAACGTGTGTACCAAATTAGCCGCCTAGCTAGATAGATAGGAGTTAGTTTGGAAAAGAAAACGGGAAAACAGCTGGCCAAAAAGAGCAGGAATAAATAAATAAAAAGCGTGTGGTCTCTTCTCTTCTCTTGGTTGAATAAATGTTTTGGATGTTTATAATATTCTTTTATTAATCGCTTTCAGACCAGCGATCTCGAGAACCTAACCCAAAGCTGACGGCACACCACAGCTAGCTAAGATTAGTCAGACGCACGCCCCACGAATCTCAGTGTCTATCGTCCCAAAAACTATGATTATGATGGGACCAAGCACTAATTGACAAATATAAAGATTGATTGTTTACTGGTAAATGGCTTTCACAAGTTTCCACTACAACAACTGGAGTACATCATCCCCATATC